GCAGATGCATCACTCAGTTCCTTTAATCTACCTATTCACTTCCTAATTCCTGACGTTAATAGCGACCCCAAGGATATAATTTGTCAGATTATGTCAGACAAATTACAGTCATGTTCACTGCAAAGTCACTGAAAACAAACAAGATCCTTATCCCCTTTCATTCCTCAAAAAAAAAAAAACTAAAACAATTTCAAATGGCACATCACAGAAAAGCGCAGCTGATATAATCTAATATACCAAGTCGATCCTAATGCTTGAACCCATGTTGCACTCTCATGCAGAAGAGGCACAGCAGTTCCACTTTGCAGCAGAAATGATTTGCATTCAATCTTCACAAGAAGTGTAGGTGTTATTACTTGTCACAATACAACCTAACCCCAATCTGCCAGCAGCCAACAGAGTATTACAAAATAAATAAATACTGTAAATAAAATAAACACACACACAATAAGCATCCCCCATCGCCGTTTTTGTGTGTGTGTGTGTGTTTGGCCACTGTGGGCCACCAAGCAAATCCGTTAGCAGTGAAGGTTCCACAACCGTCCGCCCACGCAGCTCTTTACAGTCCTAACACTACAGTTTGTGACTTGAATCAAGTGATGTGCCTCTGCTAATAAGCCTTGTTTTACACCTCAGGGCTGCTTTTGAAGCGTGTAAAAATAGCAGATTTGGCAGTGTCAGGTACTGTTTTACAACTGTATGTGAAGATACAGTACACTAAGTGGTTTTTAATGAAAATCAGTGGGGGTGAAAGGATCCATAATGGAAGAGGAGCAAAAAAGGAAGGAAAGGAACAGGAAGGAGTAAGAGGTGAGGAAGAGGGAGGAGAGCAGGATCATGGTGAAAGGTCATGTTTTTATTCTCTTTCATTTCTTGCTGAGGTCAAAGTCATACTGAGTACAGATGGCCTGTATCTGTAGACAGGCTTCTATTGTAATCTGTTGTATTGTATTGTATTCTATTACATCTGAGGGTCTAGCTATAATGTGGACATTATTACTGTCAGTGTAGAGCAACCAGGAAAACACTAATATCAATCCGCAAACAGCCAAAGATGAGTGAGTGCGCATCACGCACACACATCCACAGAAGCTGCAGCAGCCAGGCGCAAACTCTTTGCCACAGCGATGCCTAGATAATAAAACAAGCCACGGGCGTGTTTAACTTCTGGAGAAAATACAGAGCAAGTGGCTGAGAGCCCACACAGATGAACAGATAAGGAGGACCAACTGGGAGTAAAGAGGAAACGCTCAGGCAGCAGAAATCTCCGCGTTTGGAGATCGGGCAAAAGTCGCACTCAGATAAAAGAGCATTATGGCAAAAAATTCATATTTTTATTTGTTTGTTGTCTAAATAGGACGATATAACTTTAAATTAAGTTCCGGTGAACAACGCTTTTATTGAGATTTCGCAAATACAGTTGAACTACGGTACTATGAAAAAAAAAAACTAAAAAAAATCACCAGGTTCTGTTGGAGTGTTAATTTGATAAACACATTTTCTTTATGTGAAACAATAAAAACCCAATAAACCCTTACTGCATGTGATAGTTCAGCTGAATGATTTCTAGGAAATCACCAAGCGCAGCACCCCAAATCCATGTGCTCGAGTATAGAAATGTATTCTTAGTTTTCTGTCTCTCAGGGTCGCAATAAACTCACCTTCCGTAGGATCCACTGCCCGAGGAGAACTATGGTCCAACCGAGAACCTGCATGTCACCTTCCTTGTAGCGGACCACTCTACTACAGGTCTCCCCGGATAAACATAAAAAGACGCACCGCCAAATCCAAGCAATCCCAAGAGGCAGGTGAGAAGTAAAAAGTGTTAACAAAGAGGAGAAATAAGCGTAAAGTTGCGTGTTTGTTCAGTCGGTGTCGCGGTGCTTTCTATAGGCAAACTTTGAGCGCTGGCGTCAGTTTCTCTGGTCCGACTCATGTGGAACATCCAGGGTGTTTGTCTCCGCTCATGCTGGACTTTGGCTCGAAGTTTGTGCGGATACGAAGTCAGTTTGGAAGGCGGAGGCAGGGGATCTCATTGAGGATAACCAGTGGTTCTAGTGTTTTGGGATACCAACTGGTTGATATGGAGAGAAGAGAGCTCCCTCACCTTCACACTCCTCCCTCCCCCCCCACCCCAACCTCTCCGTCCATGCGCGCGTCACGGCGCACAGCAGCTCTTATCTATCGTAACCGCACTCACCACAACTGCATGTAGGTTATTTGTTGGCGTTTAAAGGAGAGGAATTATCGCACTCTACCAAGTAATGAAATCTGAAATGATGGTATGATTCATGTTTTAGACTCGTTGGAGTCTCGCCAAGGAAAGTAAGCGGATTAAAATACGAGTTTAAACTCAAACCATCGTTTGATTCATTCATTGTTTCACACTCGAAACGGTCGGTTGATTAATATTAGTCGATTGATAGGAAAGTTCTTAGAAACAGGTTTGTTGATTGGATTATTTTAAGTCATTTTCAAGCAAAAATATGTCAATGTACCGTGTGTCCGACACACCTGGCCAATAAAGCAGATTCTGGATTCTGAAGCGTGAGGGTGCTGCTTCTCTTTGTGTATGCATGATTGAATATCTTTGTGTATTTGACTGTTGATCTGGGAAAAAACAAGCTATCTCAAGATGTCTCCTTGGGCTCTGACAATTAGGGACATTTTTCATTGTTTTTTCCACATTTCATACACTGATTAAAAGAAAATAACAGCAGATTAATCACTAATGAAAATAAAACTTGCAGCCCTATTTCATACCACCTATCATTATAAACTGTATTCTGAATTTTGCTTTAGTTGGTTATATTTTATGTTACAATGACTTTATTATTCCAGTGATTAATGGAGACTAAATCATGTAAACCAGATCTGTGGACTTATAATGCATTTTTCCTCTCATTCGCATACACATGTAAACCAAGAAAGTATAGATCATTAATTAATGCAATGAATTGAATTTGGATGTGTCACCTCTCCTCAGTAATACAGTGTGTGACTCTTCCTCACCTTCTCTGTGGAAGGCAAATACACACCAGCAAATGGAAAATAGTAATTATCTTACACAGAAACATGAAGTTTAACTGTTTCATTTAAGTGACAGTGAGTGGTGGAGGCCACCAGCACAGGCTACCCAGACTATAAATTCCCCAGAAAAACAAATTTTGAAATATTAATGTTGCATGGAGATACTGGGGCAGCGTGGCCCCACATCTCTCCTCCCTGATGGCCAGTCCCAGCTGCTGCCGGCCTGATTTTGCCACCTTTAAAACGAACTGGTCTGGGCTAGTGTGGTGATCAGTGTGTCTATCTGATGGATTGTTAGCATGTCCATAATGCTGTCATACATAGATGACTGACTGAGTGACAGAACTGTCTTCTGGATAAGCATAATATTTGTCTTGACTTTCTGTCCGTGTATGATGAAGTAGTCCGTCCTTTATAACTGTTTATCTGAATGACTGAATCTCCTGTCTCTCTCCTAAGAGAATTGCATTTCTGATTGCATCTGTCTTTGTGTTCTTCTCTCTGTCTCTAAATGTCTGTCTCTAAATGTCTGCCATACTGTGAATTTCAACTGTCTTGTGAATATAAACAAGAATACTGATCAAATTACACTCTCTTGTCCAGATACAGGACATTTTTGCTCACCTGTGGCATGTCCTCATATTTCCAGTCCTGCATTGACAAGGCCAGAGTTTGGGGCTGCTGCCTGCAAGTCATGTTATTGAACTCAGCGGTGAAGTGAGAATTGTATGTCACAGATGGAGAGGAGTGTCTGTGTAAAATGAGTTGCTTTGTGGTTGTGTGTGGCTATATATATATTGTATATTAGCAATCTGTTATCACTCTTACAAAAATGCAGGCTTTTTGCAGTTTGGCTATGACTCTCATCAGTGTGAGAATGACACAGCACTGCCTCCTTGCAAGGCAAAGAGTCACTGCACACAGAAGCATTAGCACCGAGCAGATTTGAACACTTGGCGCTGTGCTTTCACAAGGGAGGGAATGGAGTGGTAGGAAAATGAAAAATAACTGAGGAATAATGTTTAACACGACATACAGTACATCTAACCCGGATTACCAAAATGCTGAAGCATAACTGGTCAGACAGTTATTTGTATTAAATAAACAAACAAATGATTGTTAGCATGTCCATAATGCTGTCAATCAGTCATACATAGATGACTGACTGAGTGACAGAACTGTCTTCTGGATAAGCATAATATTTGTCTTGACTTTCTGTCCGTGTATGATGAAGTAGTCCGTCCTTTATAACTGTTTATCTGAATGACTGAATCTCCTGTCTCTCTCCTAAGAGAATTGCATTTCTGATTGCATCTGTCTTTGTGTTCTTCTCTCTGTCTCTAAATGTCTGTCTCTAAATGTCTGCCATACTGTGAATTTCAACTGTCTTGTGAATATAAACAAGAATACTGATCAAATTACACTCTCTTGTCCAGATACAGGACATTTTTGCTCACCTGTGGCATGTCCTCATATTTCCAGTCCTGCATTGACAAGGCCAGAGTTTGGGGCTGCTGCCTGCAAGTCATGTTATTGAACTCAGCGGTGAAGTGAGAATTGTATGTCACAGATGGAGAGGAGTGTCTGTGTAAAATGAGTTGCTTTGTGGTTGTGTGTGGCTATATATATATTGTATATTAGCAATCTGTTATCACTCTTACAAAAATGCAGGCTTTTTGCAGTTTGGCTATGACTCTCATCAGTGTGAGAATGACACAGCACTGCCTCCTTGCAAGGCAAAGAGTCACTGCACACAGAAGCATTAGCACCGAGCAGATTTGAACACTTGGCGCTGTGCTTTCACAAGGGAGGGAATGGAGTGGTAGGAAAATGAAAAATAACTGAGGAATAATGTTTAACACGACATACAGTACATCTAACCCGGATTACCAAAATGCTGAAGCATAACTGGTCAGACAGTTATTTGTATTAAATAAACAAACAAATAAATAACTAAATCTATATATCTATAGCTGATGCAATAGACCATCTCTACACAAAGTACCACGCAATCTAATACTGTAAATACTGAACTAGAACAGTGAAATATTTCATTTAAATTCAATATTCAGAGTAATATATCAGAGAATGCCACCTCATTTACATTTACTCAGCATAAGGTGTTTTTAATGATCCTCCTGTATCCGCTAAGTTGTAAAATGTTCATGTTGAGCAAGCATTCACTGAGAATATACAGAATATATGCAAATTAACTCTTTACTCTCAACTAAAACATGGCTTTTATGGTTGTGTTTAGGCATTCAACTGACTTTGGTGAGGTCATGGAAAGTTCAAGAGGTTGGATACATCTTAACAACAGGCAGAAGTGACTTGAAGCACATTGTGTTAGCTGTATTAGTGTTTCACTTAACCAACTTGTTTTTGTCTAAATCTACAGTAAGCACATGCCAAATGCTGAGCTCCTGTGTCAAAATCTTTTCTTCATACTGTACATGGTAAGAAACGGTTGCCTCTAAACAGGTGGAAATGACATTCCCTTCAAAGCAGAGCATGGATCAAGCTGCATACTTCTGTCCAAACCCAACCCGTGCCTTGGAGTGTGGCATCTGCATCCGACAAGCTTACAGTACAGTATATAGTGTCCGAACCCGACCTGAGCCCGACACAGTTGAGGTTGCACAGTGTTTTCCCCCTAAATAAAGCCAGCATTTGAGTGCCCCAGCTGTTTAGCCTAAAGTTTGATCTTTGTGTCTGAACGTCCAATCAGGCTCAGATCAGGTATCCACACTGTTTCAAAACACATTTGGCTAAACAAATTAAAGTTTACAGTTAGAGTCATAATTTCAAAGGGACTAGTTGGGAAAAATGATTACAACATATTATACTGTTTGTTATTCAAATAGAAAAACTAATACTATTTAAATGGTTCATGTATTATAAAGAATATAATACTTACATTGTGGCTATCAGAATAAGATGTTCTTTTGCTTTGTGTCAGTCTTACAGCTGCTGTAAATCGGTGTGCTACACCCACCTTAAGTAGAACATCAAACCCTGTCTATCAAACCCAGCAGGTCTCAAAGAATGTGACCATTTCCTATTTCCGTCACTACCCTTCATTCAATCTACTGTCTGTGATTTGTATGGCCACAGCATGCTCTGTCCTCCTGTTATCTCTATTTTTTGCCCGACTCTCAAAGAGGGGTTGCTGGTGTGAGTGCAATTTCTGATCCACATTGGAAGTGGCAGGTGAATTTTGCCCAGCTGCTCCCCTTCTCTGTTCCACTTAGCAGCAACGCTCTTGTTCCGAGTCACTCAGCCGCTGTATGGTTATAGTAAATGAATGAACATGCTCTGAGCAAGCGCTGAGTGCATCTACTTTCACAAATATCATCCTCACATCATTATTCCTCTTCTTCCTCCTCACAAATCAGGGGAAAGTTTTATCATTTCCAAAACTGCACACTTAAAGGCTGCTCATGTTTATCACCTTCATGTTTGCAAACAAATCACAAGTATGTATCATTACAGATAATAAATTAGAGTCAAGACTAAGTGCATCTAGAAGTCTACACACATTTAACCATTAACCAGCACTTTACCGATGATCTTTGATGGATTATGCAAAACGCAGGTGGTGGAGGAGAAGGTGGTATGGAAGGAGGAGTGAGGAGGGCAATATTGTGACTATGACAGAGAAGGAACAAGGTAGTGGAAGCAGGATTAGAAGCAAATGAGGAAAAGCAGAAAGGGGATAAATGGTCGGGAAGGAAGGAAGAGAGAATGGACCAAGATGAAAGAGGAGGAACAGAGGGTGGGTCAAAGGGAGAGGAGAGCTTAACCAGGAACAAAGTAAGGAAGTTAAGGTGGTAAAAAATTAAGAAAGTGGGATTAAACTTGATGCAGCTGGCTAATGAGATTCTTGCTGTAGATACCTTTGATGTAGGTTTTGATTCAGTCTTGGATTTTACCCACTAACTGCACCATTGAAAAACTGATGTATCGTACTTTAATTATATTCTTGTAACAGTGTTTACATCCTTTACTTTGATATGCAGTGGACTATGCAC